TTAAATGCCCGTCCCATGAGTGACAGAATATGTTATCGATGATAAATAGATAGAACGTGGAGACCTGTACGGTATCTATGAGCTGAATAACGTTGAGGATTGGGCTTAAAAATTCCTTTAATTTGATTCCACATTGAATAGAATTAGATAGAAATAATAAATGTTTAGTAAATTGTTTTATGAACTTTGCTCTCGACGCTTGAAGGCTTGGTAATGCTAACAAGAAGGTGTGAGGCAGTGCAGTTTATGGCTGACGGCATAATACTTTGGTGACTTTATCAAAAGGCACATATAGACAGACTTTGGAAGAATGACATCTACTACGTTTCAATGCATTTGACACTACCAATATTATCATAACCATTTAAAAGTTGATTTGACCGAAATTGACTGAGCTACACCAAGTGATTCAAAAGTGTTGTTTTTGAGAAGTAATTGAATTCTCAGAGTCACATAGGCACGTTTGTGGTAAACTTGTCACTCGGGTTGGATTGCGGCTGATAAACTACCGAATGGCAATGAAATGAACAGAGAAAATTCTACGAACGCTAAAATAATCAGATCCGGAAGTTGATGTTGCTAGAAGAAAAATGTGCTAATTTATTTAGATAAAATAATGCATAGTATTTAGTCCTGTTGTTTTTAAGATGATTGATTAGGGAAACGAATGATCAATCCAGAAAACTTGTACCCTAAATCACTGGAATGTTTATTCTTGAAACCGACAGAAATCACAAATTAGGGAACACGTGTAGAATGCTCGATCAAATGAGGTACGTTTAATTGGGCAATTCACTTTTGCCCGTTTATTTCTTCTCCGCAGTTCGACTGAACCATGACGCTCAACAAATTGGCTGAGAACTGGTGCAACTCATTTCAGTCACCACATTATCAGTCGAGTCGGATCTGGTGAACTCAGTGATAAATTTTGAGTCGATGACTGTATGGATGAACAGTTCATTATTATTATTATTATTATTATTATTATTATTATTATTATTATTATTATGGTTTTTCACTATTCTGCTGGGGCGTAGAATAAAGTTTCGTCGACATGGTTGATCTTTCTGCCTACCGCACTCCGTCCGTCGGGGGAGACTGTTGTCCAGTGCAGTGCAGCGCAGCGCAGTACACGCACACACACACACACACACACACACACACACGAGCACACATATTTGTCTAACTGCGTAAGCATCTGTCTTCTGTGTATGTGTGTTTTGTCTGATTCGTTCGACACTATGATAAATTATGCCATTTTTCCGAAAACAGCAGAATCGTTGTGGAACACGCACGAATCCTGTCTGAAGCTTATCAACTTGTATGTGAGATGAAGAGCAGGAGCAGAAAGAGAAAAAGCAACCTCGACGACATAAGATTATCGATTTGTTTGTTTGTTTGTTGGCAGTTGACATATTCGCTCAACCGATGCTAGATAATGTGAGCATACTAATAGTTGAACACGTGGGACAGGAATTCACACACACACACACACAGGGTATGTGTAGAAGTAACAAAATGTACGACGGTCTTCTTGATCTTGGCCAAATGTGGACGTTTCATTGCGTTTCTGTCTCGCATCACCTTCTTAATATTGTCCGTCCAACGGGTGGTCATGTATGACTGAAATGTTGTTGAAAACCTGGTCCAACATTGAGTTAGCTCTGCGGCACCGATACAGGACTTAATATATGCACCCCATGGATAAGGTCAACTGTTTATCAGCATCATCAGAGTCCTTGATTTTGTAATAATGAAACGATATTTATTTTGCGAAAGCACACAATGAAGAACATCGATAAGAGTTTGTGAAACCCAATCACCAAAAATTTAAGTATATGCCGTGAGTGTGCATCTTGAGAAGTGATACTAACAAGGTGAATGGGTATGACCAACATCTGACTTTTTCAATCGCTTGACTGAATCTCTTGCACTGTTCACGTGCCACCAAAGATTGAAGAACATTTTGTATGTTTTTTCCAAATCTCCTCGGAAGTTCAAAGTTTAAAGTGTCTCCCCCGGGAATCCAAATGTGATGGAAATATTTGTGCATGCCATGAACGAGTGCCTGGTGCCTCTGAGCAATCGAAAGTGGGTTAATTCAAGCATGATACCCTGAAGCGAACACGCAATCTATGGTATCATCCAAGTGTCCAAGATAGGCGTAAAATGCAGTACGAATACTGAAAAATCGACCACTAATTGAAAACTGGTCTATCCTAGAACTGAACTGAACGGGTTAAATGCAAGCATGTGAATCGCTTTGATGCCAAAAATGTACCCCTAAAATCTCGGCTCCGTCAGACAATCGTACACTCCAGCCATAGCTTAACGGAATCTAAAATTACAGTTGAACTCGTCACGGGTGCTTACGTAATCGGTGATTAATAGCCTGTCATGAATGGCCACAGGTATGCACATGGCTATCGATTTAATTTGTTTTAATTTGATTATCATTTGTTACTTTTACTTGTTTTACTGAGATGAAACATTCTTCCGTATCACACAAGCGTCCTTATATTAAAGATGTATACATATTGCCTTTCATATATATGTCCTGGATAAGATTGATGGTTCACTACTGATCAAACAAAGACACAGTGCTCAGCAATTTCAACTGAGAACACTCAACAGACCGAATAATTGTGTAGAGTTTCCATCAAAAAAACAACCAACACTCTACAGACTTACGATGAAACACATTCATCCGATCGATATGAAAAGCTGATGAGGGATCGGTTTTTTTGTTCTCAATTCCAAGCCGACTTTATTCTTAAATCAAATGCCAGTTGACCATAACGAACTCTTACTGACGATTGGTAATACGTCGGATTGTGTGATCTGTTTTTGTTTAATGTTACCTATGTAAACTGTAAACGGCTTGAGAAAAAACAACTGTTTTTCGCCAAATTGTGTTTGTTCTAAATTCTGTGATCGAGATCTTTCAGACAGTTACTGTTAAATTGAACAAAACAACTATTCTTCCTAGTAGGCTGTCTTTGCAAGGAGAACAATAAATTATACAATTCATTTATCTCCTGCAGGTAATAACTTCGATCATTCACTCATCATTAAACCGGACAAGTGTGTTTACTATCACTACAGCCCTCATTTTCACTTGATTTCAGTTGAGTCACTTTGATCAACAACAAAGTTTATAGCCCTCCACTTTAACCGTGTAATGTAATGGTATTCACGTGTTAAATTGTGAGCACAACTTTTCGTTAGTTATCACAAACATTACCATAGCATTTGAACACATCTTTTCGTTTTTCAATTTTATTCGACAAGCCTAACCGATGCAGTATGGAATTATGTAACGTTTGTTTACGCATTACAGTTTGATCAACGGGCACTGCTAGGATGTCCAACCAGTGAGCAGAAGGATGATTAGGTTTCTTCTTCAATGCTCATAGTTCTAATGGGAACCCAACCGTGAGGCAGCAAAGTGGAGGCTCATCTATTCCGATCGATTACTGCTCCACCATTTTACCAACTGAGACGCTAACTCGAATCGTACCGCTAACATGAACAGGAACGGGAGATTGAACTTTGTCTGGTCTCTATCTCATCACCCTCCTGGCTTAATAAAAGCCATTTTGTCTGTTTGGGTCATTGAGGTGTACAAACCATCACACTACTTTAAGAGGCAGTCTCTTAGTTTCAATCAAATCAATTTGAAAACCAACCAAGTTTACATTTCCTCATTTTTCATGATATTAAAGTAACCAGTTTGCCGACCGTTTGGATTGCATTCATCTTTCCTTTTCATTTTTACTTTTTTTTATTGAATTTATAGGATGAGGAAAGCGACAAAGCAAATGGTTGCCGTACGGTAAACAATGGGGAAAGTCAGGCGGTGGTGGTGGGATTCGATCAGACATCCTTCGGATGGACAATTTGGTGACGTTAACGTTATCACCAAGCCACAACCGCCCCAGCTGGTGGAACTCAGTTTTCAAGGTCAAGGCTGTTCTTTACCAAAGGATGTTCAACGAAGCAATAATTCTGCGGCCATGGAAGGAAGAGGTGATTCGCAGTGATCCCGCCAACTACCGCCCTGTGACACTTATTCCGATACTGTCGAAAGTTATGGAAGATATTATGGCAGTTCTGTTGATGGATTATAAGGAGAAGCATGAATTTTTGTCTCAAACTCAGCACAGATTTCGGCAAAACCGTTCGTTTATTTCAATAGCCTGTAGCCAAATAGCTCTGATTCCTGCTTGAAGATAATCAGTCATTGAACTGTCATGTACATGCAGAAAATAGTAACTTTGACCGTTCAATTAATTTGAGGTTACTAGTTAAATGGTTTGTGCAGTACCGTCCTAACTAAACCACCCGATTTGGAACATACCAAAGTTGGAATAGTGAACAGTTAGATTAGCCGGAACAGCAAACAGTTTACGTCCCATTATCTCTCTGGGACAGTCAGTGGATCAAAGGTTTATACATGGTCACACAATCAACTCTGTCCATGCTGATGAAGCTATTGATTTTTCCTGGGCGAGGAGTTCTTTTTTCGGTTTCGTTTGAAGTTTAGTCCCGTTGTACGTGATGTATTGTGCGTGTCAGATTAAAGTGTTTCATTTTTTGTCGTTTGAATCTGCAACGATGGAATGGCGAGGAAAAAACAGAGAGAGAGAGAGAGTTGTTTTCCAAAGATTCGCATTCTACATCTGTCAATTGCAGATCATTAAAGAGGAGTAAAGTGAGAAAAAGAAAAGAAGAAACTGCAGCTAACTTCATAAATAACAATCAATGCGAATTCACTGGCTTTGTTTATACCTGTAATCTGTTTTATCACTAACATTGATCCAGAAAAAAACGAGCAGGAAGCATTCGGTTTCTTTTAACGATTTTACACGTATTAGATCTATTGTATTGGTGATTGTGGATAAATATAAATCTCTGTTAATAGTCACGGAGAACCAAACACTGTGAAAAGATGCTTATCTGTTAATGAGTTTACATTTGATGAAGCCGATAACGAATTTTCAATCCCAAGGAAACTTACTAGTCTCGTAGAACCGATAAACTGCTTGAAATCCACGATGTGGAATGGTCGAATCACTGCGGAATCGTAGCCACATATATTGTCCCGTCGTCTGAATCCCGTTGCCCACATTCGGTACCCGTCTCGAACAAAATCGTCCGAGCAGTGGAGAGAATCCGAATGCGCCATCGCGTACCTCGAGAAAATCGCCCAGACAATTTGGTTCCGGTTCCAGTTCAAATACACCTCGGAAGTTCAAGAGTATTCGATGGTGCTTGGTAGGAGCTGACAAAACCAGCGGGAGTGGGGTGGGGTGGGCGGTTGATTGGTTTGGAAGACAGAGTACAAATGTGATAATTTGGTAGGGCTTAAAAATTTGACAGATAGCCACGGCATCAATTATCGCTTCACGTGAGTAAACTCTTCGCTGACAGCGTTGATCATCAATACATCATACCTGAACTTGTACATTTCAACACCTAAATCAGAATCTCTCATATTATCCTTTTCTTTCGTTATTTAGAAGTCCTTTTGCAATTCTTGACAATTGGTTATATATGGATATTTATTCACTAAAACTATCTAAAACTATCTATCACTTCGATAAATAAATCACAGCCTCACATAAATGTATTTTATAGTTAAGCACAGCGGCATACTTATTTCGCGAGACGATCTGATGAGGCTCAGGACTTCTGTTTAGCTCTGTTGCGAATTTGTTGATAACGATTTTCAGTAATGTCTATCTGTCTATCTATTGCAATATATGTGTTACAATTAGTACATAAATGTCTATTACAATCTATCTATTACAATAAACACGTGGATTGTCAAACACAGAATAATGCAAATGATTTGTGGACCGTTTTTAAAACGCGGACTTTGCCAAAGTAACGCCTGTTGGTGTTGTGGTATTAGTCATAGTGTTAGTGTAGTAACAGTAGTTAGTTACCAGAATAGGGTGAAATTGAAGTGATCGAAACCGAAGCGAGCCACAAAGGCTAATGGAGAAGCGGACGGGGGGGGATTGAGGGGGAATACCACCAGTATATCCGCTGTATCACAAACAGTCTAACAATGGACAGTAGACCAGTTAGTAGGTTAAAGAAGTACACCTGAAACGGTGCTGTAGTTTTCGAGGGTAGGGGACATTTTAGCATTGTACGTGAGTAATAGTTTGAACTTAATGTGCAGATAAAAAATGAGACCCCCCTCTTCTGAGTGCCAAACAGCAACATGACAGTTCAGTGGGGCTTTTTAACTGCAAGTAACAAGAAAGCAGTTTGGAAGATAAACAGTTTTATCGACCCGAATTCTACCGGAGGAAGGGGTGTTCATATAATTGAAGCGATATCGTGGTATCGTCACCAAATGATCACCCTGGAGGACTGTGTGTTTGAATCCCAACACACCCTCGTCTGACGTTCTCTGTATGTTGTATTGCATCCCTTTGATTGGCCGCTTTCGCCTTCCTAAAAACTGTATCATTATGTATTCAATAAGAGGAATTACAGCTGAAAGCTACAATTTGGTGAAACGTGATCCAAAGAGTTGAATGAAAGACATCAGAAGATGATATCATTTGTCAAGACCCAAAATAGAATTTGGTGAAAAGAATACCAATAATAAATAATATTTATATTAGATGTGTTAATAATAATACACTCTATCTGATTGAAAGATATGCATATGTAAAATTTACAGGTTAGCTGTTCTTGAGAAACGTGCGTACAATAATAAATATGCACGCGGTATAAACCAGACACGGAGAACAGAATCGCTTTACACAAGGTTGTGTACAGTTGTATTTAATTGGACAATAAGACCGTGCTTTCGCTGAATTTCCAGACTGCACAACTTTCATGCTATCAATTTTCCCATTTATGATTTCTTTGAACAATCAATAATTTTCATCGAATACACCGTACGTTTGTTACCGTAGTGATCTAATCAGCCATAAACCACTGACTTCTACTCACCGGACGAAGACAATATGGTCAGATAGTACGCGATCGACGAATAATATCACCTCCCAACATTCAAAACATACACATCGACAGTGTCAACTAGCCCAGCTTATGGCGACCATGCGCAGTGAAAAATTAATCACACAAAGATAATTCGGTTTACTGTTCGCGAGAGGTGAAACTAACTTTTCAGTTCTCATGTTACTTCCTGTTGTTGAATAAACAAAGATACAATTTTCAGGAAGAAGGAAGCGACCAATCAAAGAGCTGCCATCCAACAAACAGTGTGCAAAAACACACGGAGAATGCGGAATGTCAGATGATGACGGTGGGATTCCAACACACTCACGTCCCTGGGGTGATAATATGGGGACAATACCAGCAGGCCATCACTTTGGGTAGCCTATAGAAAAGTGAAACCGAATTTTGTAATGAGTTTTTAGACTGTGGGGGAAAGATTACTTCAGTGTGGAGTTACTGGCTAAAAGCAGCGGTACCTTTGAAACCGAAAGTTCATTTCCTCTGGAGAAAAGAACTATAGTGAATGGATTCCGATCTGGTTGGTCTCATGTCGGATGCCAAAGGTCATGTGCTTACGTAACCACTTCGGTGGCTTTTCTGTTATCGGTGAAGCAATTTTTGATCCACGTGCAATGAAACTGGTGCGGATACAGTGACTTGCACTTTCGATTTAAGGTCGTTTTTTTACATATTTCTAGAAATTACTCGTAATTTCAAGACTGGAATGCTTAATGTTTCATATACCTCCCACCCCTCTCAGCCGGCTTCCTATTTTTCTTATAAGTAGCCCATCAAGGAGTCAGACCAAGTTCAAAGCCTTTCAGTTTGCACAATCGTGTATTTCGAAATCGGGGCGAGGAATTAGTTCGTTGAAAGCGTGTTTTATAAGCAAACTTCCGAAACATTCTTGTACAAGGTATTCCTGAGTTTGTGCTGTTTTCCAGTCTACTAATTGTCCATTAGGATCGTGGATTTAGAACACTATTTGAGTATAGACCAGAAAGTATATTCATGCCATTTTGGACTTTTTCTATTTCTGAAGGAACGTTGGCTAGCGAACATTTTCTCAAACTGGTCACCGTATGAGACCAAGTTCAACTTACCAGAAATAATTTTTATACAGTCAATCTCAAACGGAAAGGGTTTTGGCCAATTTGGTGTTTGAAACTGATACTCTTTGACTCGTTTCTGAGTGGCCGATACTCCAAAGAAATCAGTCATCACCGACGGATCACGCGGTTGAACCACCTCGACTGAATGAATAAACTGATCACATCTCGGATCCTGTCCCGGTAGTGTTTCCCGATCGGCCTCGGCAAATCTTCGTTTACGTCGCCAACTCGGATTGTGCCGCCGGGCAGATTGTCCGATTACCGTGCTAGGCGTATCACGACCGGGATCAGATGTGGTAGACAGATCGATCGGTGATGGGACCGGATGGTCTATTATTCGAGTCTGATTTAATGCGTGCGCGGAAGTCTGTCCGTTGGTCAGTGCTGGTGTGAGCGGGGTTATTGTTGATGTCGTTGTTGATGTTGTTGTTGTAGGCGGGGTTAAGTGAATCGAGGGGTCAGCCTTTACCCAGGCGGCAAGGCTGACAAGGACCAGACATCGGGAGTAGAGGGGGACGAGAATGAGCAGTCGGATTTGTGACATAATTTGTGATCCAGAGGCAATGGGAGAAAACAGTCAGTAACTCCCGTAGTCCAATCCACGGTGGTTGTGTAAGGCACCAGAATTGAGACGATAGGCGCTCAACAACAAATGGGATTTGGACAAATCGATTCATGCAGCTGCAAGCACTGGATCCAGTTCGGTCAACTGCGAGTGACAACGATGCGGTAAAAAAGTGAAGTGAAGAACAAAACGAACAAAAGAATGTGTTGTTTAGTTTCCGTGTGTGACCAAATCTGTGGACATGCGAGATTAAATTGCATCAGGATAATCAATATGATAAAAGTAGTCGAATATAAGATAGCCTTGTTCAGAGTATTGTTTTCAACACACTGTTTTTATTTTTATACCCGTTGTTGGTCAAGTGTTCTACAGGAAGGAATCGCTAGTATTTTCATTGTGATATACTATTTCGATTAGCTCAAATGGAGGAACTTCGCACTGTCTGTGATGTGATATTACAAAATCATCATAGTTATTCAAACACCCCGCTTGACTGTGAACCACATAGCTCTCGGTTATGCGTTCCAACTTTCAGTTTTCAGTCGGGAATCTTGGTATTGATATGGAGAAAAAAACATGATGCACCTTACTGGCTACGATTCTCTGTATGGTTTAAAACAACTATCCGGTATTGTTTTGCTATCTTCACACAGGAATCCTCATCTAAACGGAAAAGGATGTGTCACCAAGCAGATACGGACATGAAATGATTTTCATCCAAACTCCGGCTTAAAATTTATCACCTCGTTTTGAATGAAGACTCGATCGGGTTGGGGGGGGGGGAGGGAGAGCTTAACCAACAAAAATCGAAACGTACTGCTTGCATCTAAGGTTCGGAATTGTTTCTCAGGGCCGTTTTACAACTTCACAGAACAACCAAAACAACCACTGCACCGCATACAACCCAGAAATCTTACAAACTTGTGCTGGTATGTGAAAAAAATTACACAGTGTACTACACCATCATCAGTGCACTTTTTAGAATAGAAGTATGCACAGAGGCCAGTAAGAGCCAATGCAGTTAGAAGTAGAGGGGGCGGGCAGGCGGAAATAGCCCTTGATGAGGGAAAAATTCGGGATACTCAAAATCTGTGTATAATTAGTTGATTCAGGATAATTATATGTGCGACACTTTGATTGACATCTATCGGACGCGCCTCACCGGCGACCCGAACAACGTAAGCCGTCAGTGTGTATACGTGTCACATGTCAAGCTCGTTTGTGCAACTACTCAACTGTGAATATCACTGGCCTCTTTCCACAATACCACGCTTCTCTGATTTCGGCTGTACAAGTGAATTGAGGAATCGCGCGATCAGAAGTGAAGCACTGCTGAACGCACCCTGTAAAAGTTTCAATACATTATTCCCTCTAATTCGAGTTTCGCTTTAAGTAAGTTTTGGATTTTGGATGAGTTCGATCTCAATCCTCTGCACAATCTCATTCGATGAGAGCGAATTACCGGGAATCATTCAAGACGATCTCAGTTGGACAAAATGTTTACTTTGTGTGTTGTCACTGGTAGACCCGACGTTTTGGGAGACCATCAAATGGTGTTAACCGACACCAAACTCGTGCAACATCACTCTCATTTTGGAAATACATCTCAGTCTCCAATATCATACTTGTATATTCTTCGTTATGGCAAAGTATATTTAGTACTGGTTTTATCGGTGTTTTTCATTCTCTATCTTCTAGCAGCATTTGAATTTGTGCGGCGTTCAGTGTTGCGATAAAATTTGTACTAGTTCGAAAGTTACAGCTGAGATTTCGAAAATATTTTAAGCAAATAAGCATTCTTTTTAGTAAATGATTCCTGTTCCATGTGAGCATTTATTAAGTTGGGCACACTAAATTGCTTATCTCTTTTCATTCAGTCAGTCAATAAGCAAATTATTGAAAATATCCTAGCTTGAATAAATTGGTAAATTATTAGACTGGGATTTTTATTTAATCGAAGACTTTTCCCTGTGTTAGAAAGGGGGATAATTTAGCTGCCTCGACATTGGTCGTCAGCGGTTAGGGTGTTAGGTGTATTAGAGGGAACTGGCAAATTCTGTTTGACAGTCAACTTGGTGAACTCCATGCCAAAGTGGCTGCCTCTGGTGTTCAAAAA